AGAAAGAAAGAAAGAAAGAAAGAAAGAAAGAAAGAAAGAAAGAAAGAAAGAAAGAAAGAAAGAAAATCCAATTCTGGTAGTAAGTCGAGGACTACCTGTAGCTTTGTGGTTATTTGGACTTTCTGCGTGAAAAAAAGGAAGGAAGGAAGGAAGGAGGGAAGGAAGGAAGGAAGGAAGAAAGAAAGAAAGAAAGAAAGAAAGAAAGAAAGGAAAGAGGAAGGAGGAAGGAGAAAGAAAGAAAGAAAGAATCCTATTTTCCAAAGCACCTGAAAATAAAACAAGGAGCAACAGATTTAAACTAATCAAAAAGAGATTCAATCTAGAATGAAGGAGAAATTTCCTGACAACAATTATTCAGTGGAACAACTTACCTCCAGAAGTTGTGGCTGGAGGCTTTTAAGAAGAGATTGGACAACCATTTGTCTGAAATGCTACAGGGTTTCCTGCTTGAGCAGGGGGTTGGACTAGAAGACCTCCACGGTCCCTTCCAACTCTGTTATTCCCTTATTGCTGATTAGAGAACAAAGCCGGTTAAGAGGCCCTTGATTTGGGGGACCCCTAACCAACCTCCCTTTTCTTCCTCCAGCTCAGTGCTGCATCGCCGTCTTCATCTTCCTCCTCTTCACTCGCTTCTGGGTGGTCAGTGCCCTCTACGCTGTCTGGTGGGCCTTCGACTGGGACACCCCAAGCCAAGGTGGGCGGAGATTCTCCTGCGTCCGGAATTGCACCCTCTGGCGATACATGAAGGATTATTTCCCCATCACGGTACGTGTTCCCCCTACGGGCAAGGAGTATAATGGCCTGTGAGAAAGCCCCTGGGAGACGGAGGCGAAGGGATGCTGTGTGATGGTGCGGGGCAGAGAGATAACACAAACAGCGGGCAGTTCAAACCGCCCCTTTATTGCTTCAAATTTCCCCAAAAGCTTCCATGTTTCTGGCCAGTGCCCATACAAAGCGCTGTCACATACCTCAAGCAGCCTCTGGTGCAAATAGTCCCTGTTGTGATTTACTGGCAGCCGGTGCAGATGGCAGCAGAATCGGACGATGGGAAGAACTGGGACCAGTCAGGGAGTCTGGAGAGGGTCCCAGGACTATCTAGGAGTGGGGCATTGTCTCTGGGGCCTCCGGAGCCTAGCAGCAGCGAGGTAGAAGAACCAGGGGAGCCTGTTCCCAGTGCGTGTGTGTGCAGAGCTGCTAGAAGGCAAGAGCAGTTGAAACAAAAGGGGCAACTCGGGAATAAGGCTGGGAAGTGATTGCCTTTTATAAGGTATAAAAGTCAGGCAAAGATGATGAAGCCTTTGCAGGAAGCAAAGTCGTTCATTCAGTTCAAATTCACTCTTCAAGCTCGTTGTACTTCGGTTGGCTTTTGCTCTAGTTCATTTGATACTTCTGTTATTGGTAGCACTTCATAGGAAAGAAAGGTGGGTGCTTATCTCGAGGGACTGTTTGAGAGTCATTACTGGCTGGGAATGAAAATAATTCCCAGCGTTGCCATAAAACAAGACTTGTTTTGACAATAAGCGTGTGTGTAATTACGGTCTCGGAAACCTTGGTCAGAACAGTCCAGCCCAGAGTTGTGTATACCACAGCTGCACAGTAATAAATCCAGCAGGGAAAATCAAGGGGTTCAGGAAGCAAAGAATCCAAGCACGGATGGGATTCTACTGGTTCAGCCCAGTTTGGGCGAACCGATAGCTTCAAGGATCAGGTGTTGGGCCCATCCTCCTGCCCCAGTTCTATTCGGTGCTTTATATCCTGGTTTTGAAGCTCAGCTGATTCACGCGGCACAATGGATTGCCGCGCGCCAGCTGTGTAACACACAGAGATTGCTGGAGAAAGTCAGTAGCAAAATGCTTTGAGCACGCGCAAAGCATGTGCTCACCAAACCGGTTGTTACACCAGTTGAATTGCACCCCTGGATTCAGGTAATTAGTCCAGAAATCCAGAAAGAAGGCAAGGACTCTTGGGAAGTTCAAATGTTGGCCCTCCACGCTTCAGGAACCCAGCGTTTGTTCCCAAGAAACGCCTCTCCCCACAGCGTCTCCTTAAGTCTCAGTCCCCAGGTGTGAAGAGGGGCGGGCCACTCTCCTCCCAAGTAGCCTGTTCAGTCTGCGCTGTTCTCGCCTTCTCTCCACACTCCATGCTCTCAGATCAGGAGTGGGCGGTCCTTGCTCCTCGCCTGAGCTCTGTCTCTGATGTTCATCCTGCCCCAGTTGCTCCTTGTCTACAAGTGTCCTAATCCTGAAAGGCCCTGGCCTTCCCCATTTTCCTCTGAAGTCAACGAAGCAGAAATGCATGGTGTGCAGAGGGATCGTGCACGCATGCGCAGGTGGATGTCGTGCGGGAGTGATTGTGCGCACATGCGCAAACGCGTGGCACGTGGGGGGATGATCGCATGCACAGGTACAGGTGCCCGGCCAGGGGTGGGATTCACATTTTTTAACAACTGGTTCTGTGGGTGTGGTTTAGGTGGTGGGTGTGGCTTGGTGGTCATGTGACTGGGTGGGCATGGCCAACTCAATATCACTCACATCGAGGCATGCATCTCCTCGCCTGGCCTCTTGTGACTGTGGGGATCCTGCAACAGTCATAAGTGTGAAAAATGGTCATAAGTCACTTTTTTCAGTGCCATTGTAACTTTGAATGGTCACTCCACACAAGCAAAGTACCAGCAAAGGAGGGAAAAAAAAACTCCAGAGAAGTTCCTGAGACAGGAAGTCTCGTCCTGCCAAGAATGTAATAAGGGTTAATGGAGAGGCAGTTTCTGTAAGCAACACCAGAATGTTTCCTTCCTGCCTTCCTTACAGGATTAGCCCAGTAATTTCTTCTAACAACTGGTTCTCCAAACTGCTTAAAATGTTAACAACTGGTTCTAGCGAATGGGTACGAACTGGTACAATCCCACCCCTGGGCACGGCGTGTGGCAAGGGGAATTGCACTCAGGTGCAGGGGATGTGGTGGGGCAGCATGCATTGTCTTCTGGGTGCTGGTACGCGAGCTTGATCACACAAGTGTGCACGCAGTTATTGGCATGGGAGCCGAAAAGGGTTTGCCACCACTGTTCGAGGTTGTTTCTCTCCTTGATGACTTTCCATCTTTCCATCTCAAGTTAGCCCTTTTGGGGCACCAAGGTTGAAAGATGGTTGCCCCACAATTCCCCATTTTACCTAGTTGCATGTTACACAGAGACCAGCAGGATGTTTTTCATAGTATATAGATGGTCCTCGACTTACAACCACACTTGAGTCCATCATATCTGTTGCTAAGCGAGACGGTTGCTAAGTGCGTTTTGCCCCATTGGATGACCTTTCTTGCTACGGTTATTAAGTGAATCGCTGCCGTTGCTAAGTTAGCAACACCGTTGCTAAGTGAATCATTAAGTGAATTATCTTTTCCATGCAAAGCAGCAGAGTCCTTAAATCAAGATAATAAGGCACAAGAGAAGGTTATACTAAAGTAGTGATGGTGAACCTTTTTGTTGTAGTGTGCCGAAAGCGCGTGCATGCTGGCACCCACAATGCAATGCGTCCCGTCCCTCCTGCACATGCACGCACAACACCCCCACACCCTCTTACCTGCACTACTCATGCACACGCCTCCCAGCTGCTTTTTGGCCCATTTGAGGCCATTATCGCCCTCCTGGAGGCTTGAGGGAAGCCTCTGCAGCCTCGGAAGGCCGAAAAACAGGCCTTCTGGAAATACCGGAAGTGCCTGTTTTCAGCCTCCGGAGGGCCTCTGGAGCCCGGGAGAGGCCATTTTTACCCTCCTGGAGGCTCAAGGAAAGCCTCTGCAGCCTTTGAAGGCCAAAAAACAGGCCCGTTTCGGCACTTGCGGTATTTCCAGAAGCCCCTTGTTTCGGCCTCCCGAGGCTGCAGAGGCTTCCCTCAAGCCTCGGGAGGCCGAAAAAGGCCTCAAACGGGCCGAAAATCAGCTGGGAGGAGCACGCATGCACAGTGCAGGTAAGTTTGGCTGGGGCTTGTATGCCCGCACAAATGGCTCTGCGTGCCACTTCCGGCCATAGGTTCGCCATCATGGGACTAAACTCTCACCTTAAACAAACCACTTTTGGTGATACCAACCCTGACCTCAATTAGCTTTTCAGTACAGACAAAGCAGCCGGGGTGCTGCCCCCTGGTGGCAATGAATGAAAAAAGCAAAAATCCAGAAGTCTGGCAGCCGTTTTTCAGGCTAGAAAATTGTAAAATTGTTTCAAAAAAAAAAAAAAATTCTATTCTATTCTATTCTATTCTATTCTATTCTATTCTATTCTATTCTATTCTATTCTCAGCTTGTATGGAATTTGTTTACACCGGCCTTCCAAAACTGTGGGAAAATATACCAAGTTGGGATAACCGCAAAAGTTGTGTAATTCTGATCAGAGCTTTGTGTGTTTCCTTCTCTTTTAAAGAGAAGAGGAAGAGTTTGGGACACAGGTTGACGTGATTAGCTGAATTGCGGTTTTCTAGTTTTGCAATCGAATCTAGAACGTGCCGTCTTTCTGTCAACATGACCCAGGCTGTTCCCACTTGAAACAAGGTTCAAAAGCCTCTTTGTGGTTGTGGGAAGTGGGCTAAAGAGGGCTTTCTTTGAAAAGAGAGATTGCGGAGGGAGGTCTCTTTCTCATGAAATTATCTTTCTTTGATATATGGTTCTTTTGGCTTACGGCCAAACAGGTGTTGCAGGCTTTTGAAATTCAACACAAAGCATTGCTTTTGGCCAGGGGTTTAAGGAAGAAGGTGATACACACCACAAAAAACAAAAAAAACCATCGCTATTCTTCCTTTTCAAGCTAGCTTAACCATTCCAAAATCAAGACCCTGATGTCAGGATTCGCACGATACCTCGAAGCTGATCCCTGAATTAACTTGCATTTGGGGTTAGCCCGGGGGTGGGATTCAAACATTTTTGCTACCGGTTCTGGTGGGCGTGGCAGGGAAGGATACTGCAAAATCCCCATTCTCTCCCCACCCCACTAACCTGCTTTCCAGCTCCATTCTCCTGTGCAGGGCAACCAAAGGAGACCCAGCCAATCAGCAGAGAAGAGATGGGGGCGGGGCCAGTCAGAGGTGGAACTTGCTAGTTCTTTGAACTACTCAAAATTTCCACTACCGGTTCTCCAGAACTGGTCAGAACCTGCTGAATATACCACCTCTGGGTTGGCCTAAAAGGTTGCACAAAGCGGAAAGGATTGGCACAACCCCCCAAAAGCTAGCCCAGATTAGTCCTTAGCAAAATGCATGTATTTTAATTAAGATGGTTATATGCATGGAGTTGGCACCTCGGGCTGAGTCAACCTCACTGCTGCCGCCAATATTTCATTATTTATTAGAATTAGCCCACTTACAACATTTAAAAGAAAAATGCACTTAACATCAGTGGAATGAAATATCCATTAAGACTCTGAAGTTTCACCCAATTTCAAAGCCATAATTAATATTTAATTTTGCTGACATTGAAGAGATGAGTCTCTGCCATTTATCTAGCAACAGGGGAGGCGAAGGAACATGCTTTAATTAATGTGTTTATTTGATTTTTATCCTGCCTTGATCATTGTTTATAAGTAAGTGGACATATCTAAGGCTCCTTCCTCCTCTTCTTTCCCCCATAACAACAGCCCTGTGAGGTGGGTTGGACAGAGAGAGAGGGACTAGCCCAAAGTCACCCAGCTGGCTTTCATGCCTAAGGTGAGACTAGAACTCACCGTCTCCTGGTGATTGGCCCAAAGTCACCCAGCTGGCTTTCATGCCTAAGGCAGGACTAGAACT